CTAAAAACGCAATTTTTCGTACAATCAGGGGCCATAATTCAGGAAGTTATGGTCCGATATGCCCAAATATCGAAAGGAACTGAGATCTTTGGGTTATAAACTTACATTTCAAGTTTCAACAAAATCAGATGAAAATTGTGACCTCTATAGGGTCTACAAGCTAAAAACGTGATTTTTCGTACAATCAGGGGCCATAATCCATGAATTTTCGATCCGATACATGCCAATATCGAAAGCAGCCGAGATCTTTTGGGGATAAACCTATATTTCAAGTTTCGTCAAAATCGGATAAGAATTGTGACCTGTAGAGAGTCCACAAACAATTGTGGACGGACAGACAGGGGCGAAGGCATAATACGTCCACATGAAAATGTGGGCGTATAAAAAACCAACTTACGCGATTGGGATGGTGGAATTAAGACGCAGAATTAATCAGAATGCTAACCAGGAGGATTGATTGAATTTAAGCAACAGAGTATTAAATGCCGGAATGAACTGTAACTTTAAAGCATTTAATTTTGTAAAAACCTCTTAAATTGTATATGTAAATTGATTGTACAATATACATATTTAAAATAAATTAATTAGTTGTGTTGTTTGTTGGAAATTTGGAAAAGGGGGTAATTAAGTTAAAGAACCTGAGGTCACTTTGTGACATACAAGGTATTGATGTAATGAAACTATACACCCAATGGGAGATTCGATAACGAGTTGGAAGTTCTCACTATAATAGTTAACCAGCAGCTGCCAGGCAGGATACGCCCACATTTTGCAAGAGATGGATAGAGAACAAGCTAAACAAAAAGCGATTTTTCGTACAATCAGGGTCCATAATTCAGGAAGTTAAGATCCGATACGTGCAAATATCGAAAGGAACCAAGATCTTTGGGTTATAAACTTACATTTCTAGTTTTATCAAAATCAGAAGAAAATAGTCACCTCTAGAGGGTCCACAACCTTGATATATAGCATATTTTTACGCTATTTAAGTACGAGGGGCGACCATTTTGTCTGTCAGTTTTGGACCGATTTTTACGAAATTCGATTTTTGAAATCAGATATAAATTATAACCTCTATAGGGTCCACAAGCTAAAAACGCGATTTTCCGTACAATCAGGGGCCATAATTCAGGAAATTACAATTTGATATGCGCAAATAACAAAAGGAATCGAGATCTTTGGGTTATAAACTTACATTTCAAGTTTCAACAAAATCGGATTAAAAATGTGACCTCTATTAGTAAGTGCAGGAGGACCGCACTATACGTAAAACAAAAATCTACAAGATAAACCTGCGGACAAGACAGAAAATAGACATTGCACCAAATAAACAAATATCAAATCTAGTGAATGGATTTGGGGGCCAGCAGTAAAGGTCCACTGCGCTGTACAGTCCCGGCTGTAGTGACACAGACTTCACTCAAATTTGAAAACAATCAGGAATATAAAGATAGGTTGCCAGGCAACAAAACATACGCCCACAGCAGCTAAATTGTCCGAGCAGACGACAAGGGTTGTCACATATTTATTCTTTTGTAGGTAATTAGGGGAATTTAATAGACAATTTCATACAGATGACATTATAATTTTCGTTGTTTGAAGGTTCACAAGGTTCTAAAAACTAAAACAAGGGCCGTAACTCTGGAATCAATCTACAGAAATTGTTCAAATTCGACAGGCTTTTTTCGTTTTACTAATTCAAATAATGCATATAAATTTCATACAGATCGGATGATAACTTTTGTTGTTCGAAAGTTCACAAAGATCAACAAAGTAAATCAAGGGCCATAACTCTAGACGTAATTGACGGAAATTGCTGACATTCAATAGGCTTGTTCGTCTTCATTTCACTAATTGAGGTGATAACTGAAAATCAATAGGCTTGTTCGTTTTACTAATTTAAATGATACATATAAATTTCATACAGATCGGATAATAATTTTTGTCGTTAGAGCATTTACAAGGTACAACAAAGTGAAACAAGGGACATAACTCATGGAGTAATTAACGGAAATTGCTGAAATTCAAAAGGCTTCTTCGTTTCACTAATTCAAATGATGCGTATCAATTTCAAACACACCGGATGATAGCTGTTGTCATTAGAGCATTCACAACATTCAACAAAGTGAAACAAGGGCCATAATTTTAGATGTAATTAACGGAAATTGCTGAAATTCAATAGGCTTCTTTGTTTTACTAATCTAAATGATGCATATAAATTTCATACAGATCGGTTGATAACTTTTGTCGTTAGAGCGTTCACATGGAGCAACAAAGTGAAACAAGGACGATAACTCCAGAAGAAATTAAGGGAAATTGCTGAAATTCAATAGGATTCTTCATTTCACTAATTTAAATGATGGATATCAATTTCAAACAGATCGGATGATAACTGTTGTCATTAGAGCGTTCACAAGATTCAACAAAGTGAAACAAGGGCCTTAACTCTTTGTTTTACTAATTTAAATGATGCATATAAATTTCATACAGATCGGTTGATAACTTTTGTCGTTAGAGCGTTCATAAGGCGTAACAAAGTGAAACAAGGGCCATAACTCCAGAAGAAATTAACGGAAGTTATTGAAATTAAATAGGCTTCTTCATCTCACTAATGCAAACAACATATATCAATTTCAAAACAATCGGTTGATAAATGTAGTCTGTAGAGTGTTCGCAAGAAATTGTGGACGATGGACGGACGGACGGACGGGGGTGACGGCAATATACGACCACATTTCCATGTGGGCGTATAAAAAGGATGTAACAGAAATAATGCAACCAATCTTGACAGTGGTCGTCTCCTCAATGGTGATAGTCTGCCAGTTGACGTCATGAGTTAGAACGTCAAATGATTTTAACAGTAAGGGCGATAGTCCGGATAGAATCTCGGAAAACGCTAAATTAATATAGGGTCCACAACCTTGATATACCATATTTTTATGCTCATCTTTGAACTCTATCAAATAAAGGTATTCACCTAATAAACACCTACACCAAGTTTGGACATTTTAGCTCAATTAGAAGGAGACTTTTTGTGTCCCAAAAAGTGTGACGGACAGACAGACAGACGGAGCACAGTCCCATTTTAATAATCGGGAAAACAAAGTGAAACAAGGGTCATAACTCTAGAATTAAACGGAAATTACTGAAATTCAATAGCCTTCTTTGTTGTACTAATTCAAATAATGCATGTAAATTTAATACAAATTTAACACTATTATTCTAATAAACCATATAATATAACATGTATCATCTTTTGTTACTGTATAATAACAATCAATATTCAGCCTTAGGAGATAGTTAGTGTTTTGGTGGATAGGAAGCGTCAATTTCACAATATTCACGATATTTGATTTTGGGGGCATAATACTAAAATATGCAAATGACTACGAAAAAAGTCACTATAGAACCTAACAGAAGAAACATTTCCAGTTACATGTGACGCCGAAACGCACCAAGAGCTACCGCATGGAATGCAAGTGATGCTTGGGATCACATGGGGGTCCAACCCAAGATTTGCACGACTCTGACTTTGAATGTTACAGTCATTGTGGCATTGAATTCCAGGGTGGAAACATCAGTTTAATTGTTTTAGTGACCAGAAAACAAATTTTGATATGCGTCGGCTTACCCAAAATGAAAGGTTACGTGCCCTTGGCATGCTACAGATCGGAACAACACAGGCGGTTGTGGCGCGGACGATGAATGTTTCTCAGTCTGTCATAAGCAGGCTATGGTCCAGATACCGTGATACACAATCTGTACAGGACAGATCATGCTCAGGTCGACCAAGGGTGACAACTCAAGACCAGGATCGATTTATCCGTACCTTGGCCTTGAGAAATCGTGTCATCACAGCAAATCAGATCAGCGCTCGTCTTCAAACAGACACTGGTGTGAGAGTGAGTGGCCAGACGATTCGGAATCGACTGCATAGGGGTCACCTTCGCGCCCGACGTCCTCGCGTGATCCCTTGTTTGAGAGATCATCACATTCAGGCAAGACGTCGTTGGTGTAGGGATCGTCAACACTGGGATAATCGACGCTGGAGCAATGTGATGTTTTCAGATGAGTCAAGGTTCACTGTTGATTTTTTGGACAGACGTAGGAGGGTGTGGCGTCGTCGAAACGAGCGCTTCCAAGGCGTTAACGTCATCAGACATGATCGATTTGGGGGTGGTTCTGTTATGGTGTGGGGAGGCATCACTGTTGCTGGAAGAACGGCTTTACATGTTGTTGCAGGGCGTGTTACAGGCCAGTACTACCGGGACAACATCTTGGCAGTCCATGTTGTGCCGTTCGCACAACGTCATGGCCGCCGTTTCATCTTCCAGGATGACAACGCAAGATGTCACAGGGCCAGGATCGTTACAGGTTACCTCCAACAACAGAACATCACCACATTACCTTGGCCAGCACTGAGTCCCGACCTCTCCCCCATCGAGCATGTCTGGGACATGCTTGGACAGAGGTTACGTCAACGTCAACAACGTCCTGCCAATGTCCAAGAACTTGCTGCTGCGTTGCAACAGGAATGGGACAATCTGGACCAAAATGACCTTAGACGTCTCATTAGGAGTATGCCACGTCGGATCAATGCTTGTTTGGCAAACAGAGCAGGATTTACCCGTTACTGACTTGGTTGTGATGCTGTGGTAACTTTGCTGTTTGACCCCGGGTATCATTTTACCCTTATAATGGTCAGTCTGTGCCTTACTTAGTCTAACGATCATTTGGAATAAATCGATGAATGTGAACTTCATTTCATTTTGTCATTTGTTTCTTCGTCAGTTTCATTAGGTGACTTTAATAACACTTAAAAATCAAATATCCCCTACTTTTTTTGAATAGTATATTACAAACATGCTGTTGCATTGTCTGGAGCAATTTTTGACTGCAACTTAAATTTCAACTTGAACAAATGGAATTTAACATGATAATGAAAATTTCATTTTTCAACTGCCATAAGGTTTCAAAATCTATGAATGAATTTAAGTTACCTCTGGTAAATTGTCATTATACATAAGTTCATCTAATGTCCGGAATGTTATACTTCTTTCAACCTTTTCAGCTCTGAATTGTTTGTGTCGTCTACGTCTTTGCATCCTTGGAGAGCCACATCCTTCAGCAGATATATCTGTATCTGATTCTGTATTACTACTACTCTCTCTGCCACCCATATCTGTATTCTGTTCAACTGTAACATTAAATATAAGTTAATATTAAATATAACATATTTAATCAAATACTATTAACCATTATAATTCAATCATTAAAATACATTTTCTGTCAAAAAGTCATATAAAAAAACTGTAGACTCCATTCTTCACAATTTTTTCAGAAAAGGGAAAGTCACTCCAGAAATTAAGGTCATGGAACCCTGAATGTTGATAGAGTTCGTTCTCTTATGATCCCAGGGGTTCACACTAAAATTTAAAAAGATAGCCACGCAAAGTGTGGAAATAAACATACACAGTAGCTGTTCCTCAAAAGCAGATTGTCCGAAAGGAAAATTTGGATGATGACCAAGTATTATAATAAGCGTGTAGCATCCTTCAAAAAAATCGAATCTCTAATCTTTTCCAGAGGAAAAATATATCTCTGCAACAGAAAATCTTAGATTGCGTAAAATTAACAGTGGTTTATCCTGGTTGTGGAACACTGAATATCGATAGGGTCAAACCTCTCACGACCCCAACTCTTCAAACCAAATTTGAAAAATCTGTTAAAAACTGTAGCCTCTACAGCCTTAACAAGGTTTTCCGTCAAGGAGTGTTAGCCTTTCATGACTCCAATGCTTCACACATTTGAAAAAACAAACAAAACTGTAGCCTCTAACAAGGTTTCTGGAGAAGGGGGGATAATTAATAATAACTTTAGTCCAAAAAAATTTGTGGAGGGGTGAAAATCAATAGGTGTTGTCCTCTCATGACCCCAATACGTCAAACCAGAATTCAAACAAATCTGTTAAAAACTATAGCCTCTAATGCATTAACAAGGTTTTTGGAAAAGGGAGAAGGGGGGAATAAATCAGAAACAAAGATCGCAGACTACCAAAATCGATAGGGGTGTCCTCTCATGACACCAATGCTTCACACCAAATTTGAAGAAAATCTTTAACCAGCAGCTGCCAGGCAGGATAAGCCCACATTTTGCAAGAGATGGATAGAGAACAAGCTAAAAACAAAAAAGATTTTTTGTACAATCAGGAGTCATAATCCAGAAAGTTATGGTCTGAAATGCGCAAATATCAAAAGGGACTGAGATTTTTGGAATATAAAGATATGTTTTAAGTTTCATCAAAATCGGATAAAAGTTTTGACCTTTAGAGGTCTATTACCTTTGTATTACATACTTTTACACAATTTGTTTACAGAGAGTGGCCATTTTGTCAGGCAGTTTCATTTCGATTTTTTCCAAAATTCAAATTCAACCTTCATTATACTTATAGTGGAATTGTGGAATGGTAATATATCTAAACATTTTTTTAAAATCGGAAAAAAAATTGTGACCTCTAGAGAATCCACATGCTAAAAATGCAATTTTTCGACCAATCAGGGGCCATTATCCTTGAAGTTACGTTCAGATATGTGTGATTATCAAAAGGAACCAAGATCTTTATGATGAAAGCATATAATTCATCCAAATCGGATAAAAACTGTCGTCTCTAGAGGGTCCACAACAGGGGTTCCACATCAGCCGTATATGCCGGTAAGGACCTAGGGCTATGGAAAATGAATGTAACTAGAGCTGACCCAACGGTCATTTTGCATGCTGGAAAGAAAGCCTTTTTTTTTTTCAAAACCCAATTTTCAAACATGGCTACGATCGACCTCCACTATGTGGTCCATTGTTAATCTTTCATGTATTGTCCACGCGTCATAAGAATTTTCTACAACAAAGCCGTTGTAAACGAGGTTATTATGATCTTCGAAAAAGGGCAATTGATATGAAGTACTGCTCTTCGAATCCAATCAACTGTCATATCAAATAAAGATAGGTTGCCAGGCAACGAAACATACGCCCACAGCAGCTAAATCGTCCGGGCAGTCAACAAGAGTTGTCACATATTTTTACTTTTTTCGGTAATGAAACATTTATAATACATTAAAATCTGATTAAGAGTAACAACTCATTAAGTAATTATCAGAAAACCATTAGAATTTGTTTAGTTTTTATAAAGTTTTGCCCCATGCTAACATTTAGTATAGGAAACTTTAAACATCATGGATTTAGCTGTTCAAGTCATAAAGATTCATTGAAAATCAATATACTTGTTCGTCTCAAGACCTTAAACTCTGTGTATGAATCTGAAGTCAATCGGATGATAACTTTAGCTTCTAGGGGGTCACAAGATTTTTCAAAGTGATCAAGGGCCATAACTTTGGCAGTAATTATCGGAAATCGTTGAAAATGAATATGATTCTTCGTCTTATGACCTTGAACACTCTGTATCAATTTAAAGTCAATCGGATATTAACTTTAGCCTCCAGAGCATTTACAAGATTTTTTGAAGTGATCAAGGGCCATAACTCTGGCAGTAATTATTGGAAATCACTGAAAATCAATAGACTTCTACGTCTCATGACCTTAAACACTGTGTATAAATTTAAAGTCAATCGGATATAAACTTTGGCCTCTAGATTGCCCACAAGATTTTTTGAAGTGATCAAGGGCCATAACTCTGGCAGTAATTATCGAAAATTGCTGAAAATGAATAGACTTCTTTGTCTCATGACCTTAAACACTGTGTATAAATTTAAAGTCAATGGGATATTAACTTTAGCCTCTAGAGCATCCACAAGTAATCAAGGGCCATAACTCTGGAAGTAATTATCGGAAATCACTGAAAATCAATAGGCTTCTTCGTCTCATGACCTTAAACACTGTGTATAAATTTAAAGTCAACCGGATATTAACTTTGACCGCTAGAGCGTCCACAAGATTTTTTAAAGTGATCAAGGGCCATTACTCTGGAAGTTATTATCGGAAAGTCGCTGAAAATCAATAGGATTCTTCGTCTCATGACCTTAAAACACTGTGTATAAATTAAGGATGTAACGAGTCAAAAAAATTTGAACCGGTTAACTGATGGGCATAAACCCTACCGTGACCGGTCAACCGATTCAGTTTTTAGTTACAGAGTTATTACTTGTCGGTACTGTACACAACATGATTAAAGTCTTTACTTTTCACACTGTTTAACTTCATTTTAAATATAACTAATAAATCCTAAGAGCTCATTTATTGCAGCTTATTTTGTTTTTCATTCAAATTTCTCTGAAGGAAACATTCAGTCATCTAACAGTCAACAAAAGGGTCATTAGCCTATGTACAGGAATACAATGTCTCGACGGTATGCTACCACGTGGTCATCAATCGCCCAGGTATCACATGCCGTGCCTTTGTGTGACAGATCGAAAAAATGATTAGATATTATTAGTGTTCGACCTGTTATAAATATAGGAATATTCTAAGGCCCTCTCCTACCTCAATCTTTATGTGCAATGTTTTAATGTAATCCAATAATAAATTCAGTTCAGCGTATTCGGGTGTACCATTACGTTCAATTTCATGTGCATTCAATAAATAAACCGGTAGTCAAGATTACCCAGCCCGAAGTTACAACGCAATAAGTCGCAGTTTTCTAGAGAGTCTATAGAGGCGTAAGATCTCTCAACAAGAAAATAAATGATACTAATTTCACAAGACATCATATTCAAATAACATTAAGCTCGGTCAATTACCTAAAAGTCAGGAACTGATATACTTACATATAGATCACGGACACCTTACAATAGGTCAAAACATTATCATAACTGTACGTAGGCCTATATTATATATATATATATATATATATATAATTAGGTCTGTCCATGGCCTAAACGTGTACAACTGGTGGGGAATTTTATAAGATAGGTTGCCAGGCAATGAAACATATGCCCACAGCAGCTAAATCGTCCGAGCAGTCAACAAGAGTTGTCGCATATTTTTACTTTCTTCGGTAATGAAACATTTATAATACACTAAAATCTGATTAAGAGCAACAACTCAGAAAACCATTAGAATTTGTTTGTTTTTTATAAAGTTCTGCCCCATGCTAACGTTTTGTATAGAAAACTTTTAATACTGTATCATGAATTTAGCTGTTCCAAGTCATAAAAATTCATTGAAAATCAATATACTTGTTCGTCTCAAGATCATAAACTCTGTGTATCAATCTGAAGTCAATCGGATATTAACTTTGGCCTCTAGAGCGTCCACAAGATTTTTCAAAGTGATCAAGGGCCATAACTTTGGCAGTAATTATCAGAAATCTTTGAAAATCAATAGGATTCTTCACCTCGTGACCTCAAACACTGTTTATAAATTTAAAGTCAATCAGATATTAACTTTAGCCTTTAGAGCATAGACAAGGTTTTTTTGAAGTGATCAAGGGCCATAACTCTGGCAGTAATTATCGAAAATCACTGAAAATGAATAGACTTCTTCGTCTCATGACCTTAAACACTGTGTATAAATTTAAAGTCAATCGGATATTAACTTGAGACTCTAGAGCGTCCACAAGATTTTTCAAAGTGATCAAGGACCATAACTCTGGCAGTAATTATCGGAAATCACTGAAAATCAATAGGCTTCTTCATCTCATGTCCTTAAACACTGTGTATAAATTTAAAGTCAATCGGATATTAACTTTCGCCTCTAGAGCGTCCACAAGATTTTTTGAAGTGATCAAGGACCATAACTCTGGCAGTAATTATTGGAAATTGATGAAAATCAATAGGCCTCTTCGTCTCATGACCTTAAACACTGTGTATAAATTTAAAGTCAATCGGATATTAACTTTGGCCTCTAGAGCGTCCACAAGATTTTTTGAAGTGATCAAGGGCCATAACTCTGGCAGCAATTATCGAAAATCGCTGAAAATCAATAGGCTTTTTCGTCTCATGGCCTTAAACACTGTATGTAAATTTAAAGTCAATCGGATATTAACTTTAGCCTCTAGAGCGTCCACAAGCAATTGTGGACGCCGGACCGACGGACGGACGGGGGCGACGACAATATACGACCACATTTCAATGTGGGCGTATAAAAATTAATAATGCCGGGCATGTACTCTAATTTAAACATAATCGATATAATTTAATAAACAATCACACCAAATCGAAACTATTTTTATACTGACAGAGGGAGCAT